AGCCGAATTTAATGTTTATTTTTTTCTTGTTTTATATTCCGTTGGAAAGATAGACGCGTGTATTGTAAGGTCATAAGCGCTACGATAAGAATATTTTTGTTTCCACTTACAACTAAAGTTTCACTGCTTTTAAGCTATTTCAGACATATCGCCAAGAAAGAAAATTCATTGGTTTTATTTAGCATTATCCGATTTATGTGAAGTATGGACGGCCTTGACCGATAACTTCTTGGAATTTTAAAACTAATTTCATATTGGCAAAAACTAAACAGCCGTTTTCATAAGATTCACTTGAGGTCACTTTCTAAACAACAAAATCATTCGCCGTGGACAAAATAAGCTGAGAAATAATCATTTGATATCAAGTCCAAACTATAAGGTAGTTGCATTGYCCTTAATATGCTTCCAGAGCTACAGGCAAGTCCTTATCGACAAGATTGCAAAAACCATCGAATTGGAATTTTTTACTAGACTTAGTTTAAATAGTTTTTTAATTTGCAACAAAAAAGAAAACTGGATTAAGTATGAAAACGATGAAAAAACAAAAACGACCCTATAAAATTTGTATATAAAGGATTAGTGTGACGAGCTGAGTCTATTTAGACATGCCTATCTGACTGTACATACGCGAACACGCTCCATAGCTTTGGAGAAATTGATATAAAGTTTTATACATATTTGTGCTTTGTGTTACGCAAAAACTCCTTAAAGGTGGTCACCTCATAGATAGACGAAGCATAGATAGACGAAGACGAGTTTACCACAAATTTATTATGGCAGTTAATAGCAAATGCCACTTCGCTAAGTCCTCCAAAGATGTGTCTGCTGTGATATTTCGCCAAGCAATAGAATAGACGTGAGAATAGAATTTCACCTCGCCGTCCTCTATACAGCTTTGGTAATGATATTTTGTCGTACAGTATGTGTACCTAAAGTACAGTTTCTCGTCAAAACCGCTGCTATAGCAACTGCAAGTAGTTCGTTGGATCGGTCCACCTTGGGTCAGAAGGATGTCGCAATCGCACTAGTTTTGATTGTTGAAGAACACCTGCCGAACTGACTGAAGGTACATTAGTCCAGCGCTAAAGCGGATAAGGACGTCGGGCAACCGACTCGCTTTCAATTGGATAAAATTAAGATAAGGGCGACCTTCCTTGCAAATTTAGTGGCACACAAGTCTAATATAGAAAAAACTTGAAACTGCTCCTTATGAGTTCATACTCTGCTTGACTAGTCAAAAGCGCASTGTCAGCGAGTTCAAAGATAATATAGCCGCTCGGCCATTAGAATAAATTCACACCTCTCTGGGTAGAAGATTAAACTACTGAAACAATTTATACTCACTATTGAATTATACAATTTTATGCGGTTATTTCGCATGAAGTTCACAAATGGCACTACGKCATGGTTACTGATAGAAAGACGACAGTCCGTTGCAAGTTCGAAACATAATATCTAATAGAGCACGCTGTTTCGTATAGTATCTTAGAAGAGTCGGAGTTTAAGTGTTAGGTATATTACTAATTTGTACTAATAATACCGGTTCGATGATTGCACTAAATATGAGGTTATGTTATGCAAAATATATAAAAATTTCTAAATTTCTGTTTTATATATTATGAAATACAACAAAAAATATATTAGCATTACAAATTTATAAAATAGCATATATGTAGTTTATAGTAAATTAATTTAGACAGAAATACTTTTTTATATGACAATAATTATGTACAAGTATATTCCGAGTGCTGTAGATATAAATGTGCATAATTTCGAACATTCTAACATATTTACAGTACATATTTCAAATCTAATTGGTATATGATTTTATATAAATTTTTTTTTTTTTTTGTTTTATAAATATATACACCGTATTTTAATTATTAAATTTTTTTTTGCAAACCTTACCATATCGACTCAGATTTTCTTAGCCCAAAGCAAGCAMAATAATTTTGTTTTTCAAACAGCGAAATTAGTGTTATACACCTTTTCTTTAACTGTTTCTGTCTCTGTCTGTCAACTCAAACACATACATACACACAAACTGTCTCTTATAATGGCAAATTGATTGATGATTCATCGCATGAATTCCAAACTGAACCTTTGCAGGCACTTTTGGCGGACACATACTCCCTRCGTGATACCAAAGTACAAGAGAATGGAAAAGTGAGTAACAAGTATTTAATGAAACGCCACCTACTATACTCCATACATATCTACATAGTTAATGCGTTAGTTGTAAAAGTGCAATAAACATAAATATTGTTTATACCTACCTATATACATACATACAAATYGTATTGCATAACACTCACATATGCATTTTAGTTACATAAAATTTTATAATTTTTGTTGGCGTGGGAAACAAATAGTTATATAAGTTATATATATATTCACATATATATACCTATGTTATGATGTATAYATACACATATAAGTATATAAATGTAGTGTATTATACATCTATACATCTCTACTTATGGTATAAGCAAAAATTGARTGTCTCAAAGTGGCATAAAATCTGAAATTACAAGGAAATTTCCACATCGCTGATCTTTTGAATTGACTAAAGGCTCGATAAATTTGCCAGTGTAATAATTAATCGAAATAAGTATGGTTAACGTTYTTTAGGCATTTACAAATTTGATATGGGTAAGTAAGTAGGTAAAGTGGACGTTTGACGTTAGACCGTTGAGACCCCCAAGACTAAAATCCATTCACTCTATTATGTTCTCTGTAAACAAACATAAGCCTCAAGACTAGAATGCTCTCAGATAGGAACTCTTTTATGCTCTCTCTCTACAATCCTGTGCCTCTGATGAAAACCGTTTAGTTCCGAGACCTCATCAAAAAACCGTCGACCGATAACCACGATTCTTATTTCCAGCATTGTATTCGTATAGAAGACATTCCCCACTCTCTACTTCTTCTAGCTCATAASAGCTGCTTCAATGGCCATTGTATGGTGTTACCAGTCTTCTGGCATGTCTTCCAATAAGACTACTAGAGTTCTTAAGTAATTACTTTGGAATTTTTATGGTCGGCATGTGTGACCCTTATTCCATTCATGCTACGTTTGTGTGCTTGGTAATGTTGGGTTCGACCCAATCGATATTTTGTGTATCAAATATTTGGTTTGTAGGTTGGTCTCTGCTCTGTCTAAGTCATCTGCTTCACCGATACCAACAATATGACTATATTCTATACGATCTTAGTTCCACTAAGAGTTCGCTTTCTTTCATGAAGCCATAAGAGACTGTTGTTATTACAAATGTGTTCCTACTTGGAARCATCAAATCACAAAACTAAGAGCGGTCTTCATTACTTTCATTTCAACTATCTAATTCATCCTTGGAAATATAATCTTCAAAAATCGTACAAAGCTCCAGAAAAATGCTCGGCTCTCAGTATTGATGGTTGAATTCGAGAATCCCAAGCTCACGACACTATATAACACTATATAACAATTATAAATACTAAATAGGCTAGAAATTACGTATTTTGCTTCAAAGTAGAGSTCAGTCTGGGTGAATACGGGAGATTCGTAGACATATTCATTGATTTCAGAGAGGTTGRGTAAGTCAATTGTTAGCTCACGAGCTACCCACATTGAGAAAGAGTTTTCACTTGTTATTTTTCGAGTGTCAGCTACTTATCTCGTACAAATACTCACAAACCAACAACCAATAGTGAATAACATTATATTCCAATAAAAACTTAAACTTTGGAAGTTCGTATTGCACCGCTTAAGTCGAATACTTTGACGTAAGAAAACCTCGAACCTCTGGATGAAGGTAAATTAGAACAAAGCTATAAATAGAAAAGCATCCAAAGTTTGAAGAGTTGAATTTAGAAACATTCGGCACAATACCATAGTTGGCAACACTAAAATAAGGCTCTAGCTTTTAAAGCAGGATATTCAGTACATTTAAATACAAGTTATATAATTAAGTTGAAAAAACCTTTAATTTAAGTGGTTTTGAGTTTTAAGTTAAGTAACATCATGGAATAAGGTTACACCATACACCATATTTATATATACATAAAGTACAAGTACATGTATATACATATAGAAACTGATATTAATATACATATATACACAAACGCTCGGTTTGGGATCATCAAAAATTCAGAATCAATTTTAAGAATGTTTAATAATACAGTTATAAAAAATATGAAAAAAAAAATATTAACAATTCTTCGTTTTACTCCACAACACTCCACTCCACGTCACTTCCACTTACTCTGAGCTTCACATAAGCAATCCACTGATTACTCACATAAGACTTGATACACTTGGTYTTACTACCTGGTATTGTGTAGTTAAATTTTGYATACAYAATCACATGTTAGYCTTCACCGAAATCACCGAAGCAAAGTCTCAAACCAAGCAGTCACAGTTCTTTCACGTAATCCGTTTTTGTATTTTTAAATTGTTTATATTTATACACACTTTGAAAGTACTCGAAATCATCACTTGTTTTCACATGACAACACGTTATACTCCTAACTTATGTAGTTCACAGATAATGTTCTTAGAAAAGTAGAAAAACAATTTTTTAAATTAATTTCAGGTCGGTCTCACAGCTGGTGCTCTTGGTGAACTGTCTAAAGTTAGTTTCTGGTCAAGTGTTTTGAAATGTTATTAGTTTCTTTTGAACTTTAGCCAGATGAAAGAGCTTTAAGCTTGCTGCATTTATTGAGAGTTTGATGCATTACATGCACACACACACACATAAAAACATAAAAACATACATACCAGCTCATCTTATTTACATTTTTAAGCAGTTTACTTGTAGTATTGAGAATTTTARCGCTTTATTATTGAATATTGGAAAAGCAGGATTATAAGGAAGCYACATTTTTAATTTTGTAATAAAATAAACTTTTTGTCTATAATATTTCTAAAAGTTTTTTTCCTAATTTTTTCATTATTTTGCTTAGATTCGAATATTTCGTCCTAAGTTGGGCTAATTCGAATTCAAAATTTAGCGTTAAGCCAAAATGGCTCACTTATTCACTTATACATTTACATATTTTCCGTATGTCTACTCGTAAGCCGTATTTATTTACATGTTTCTCACTTTTTATACAAAGCGGAATTTTCCTCCAACAATGAGCTGAAATGTTTTGATATGTAAAAAAAATTATTTTACAAAAACAAAAACCGCAAATATTCTATTCCAATTATAAAAACTCTTTAAAATGCTCGGCAAAAAGCCCATCGCCAGCAAAACCAATTGCATGGAAGTTTAAAAAAGTGCCACAATACAAATAAAGCATATCAATTTGAAGCTTTATATGGTCAATTCTATTTTCCGATTAATTAATTTTCATTTGTTTACTTATTTTTGAGTTAACATAGCAAACAAGTTGGCTTAATTGGACTTTTAAATAAAAAAAAGCGAAATACTTAGCTGGAGGCCTGTGAAGCGCTCTCATACAATTTGAGAATATTTTTTTGGAAATGACATACTTTGAATGACATACTTTGATGTTGARAAAGTTAACAATTTTGTTCCAACCTAACGAAACAGAAGACACATAACGGTCTCAATTATGATTTCAGACAGATTGTAATGGTCGATAGTTAGCTCACGAGTTACCCACTTTGAACAGAGTTTTCACACTTATCACTTCTCCATAACAAAATTTTACGATTCTACATAATCACTATGTAAATTTTTTGATATTTTCGTCCCTAACAAGCTCCTTTTGACATTTTGGGTAATATTCACCATTTATTGCTCAAGATCATTTGAACTACTTTTCATAATCTTTCCTTTGTTAAATTCGCTACCATCCCGAATGGAAAAAGTAAGTTTAAAGTAGTTAGATAGAAAATACTTAAATTAAAATGTAGTCTAAAATAGAGGGAAAAATGTCCAATTAGAAATTAGGAAAATTTAACATGTGATCAAATTTGACTCGGACTGATGTGATAAAAAAAAAAATATTTCCTAGATTGATATAAACTTTATGCTCAAGAGAATTTCGATCTCCATATGTCAAGTGCTGTTTGACAGCAGTTTGCTGACGACGTGAACGGCTTGTTTGGTGATTTGTATCATCGAAAAACAAATTGAACAACCAGTTCTTTTGAAACCTTTTGTTTACAATGAAATGCGCTGGCAAGCGGTTGAAAATGTTGATGTTGTAGAAGTGCTTTAGAGGGTTTCCTTCATCACAAACACAAGCTTTTCGGCGACACAAAGCATTCAGTGCGGTTCGTAAAAACTTGCCACATGCGAGTCAACCATTCACTTCGTTTAACGAGGACAACATCAGAAATGTTAGGGAAACAGCGCAGAGCTAGTAGAGAACCGCAAAATCTCTTATGAATCGATTTAACACATTTTGGTTAATATTTTGTGTATGAAGCTTGTCAATGCAAGACTTGTCTAGTAGAGGTTTCAGAAGATATATTTGAGAACGTAGTTGTGGACCCTACATACATTTATTACTGATGACTAGACGTTAAATATACGAAAAATACGAAAAAATGTAGTGTTTTGTCAGTCCGGTTCAAATTTGATCAGTTGCTACTAGCAGCAAATAATTGAACTGTTGCACTACTTACCACTTCTGTAATCTTGAAATATTTTTTAATCTTGTTATTTTGTTTTACTGAAGATGTGAGAAATATGTTTGGTTTTCATCGGATTCAGCGGTCTTGGTTGTATGAATAAAATTATCTGATTGATTGGAATTGGACTTAACGTTTTACAAGTATGGTGATAGTTAATCAATCAGATGGTAGCTTAACCTGTTGTTATTCAACCTTTAACCTAACAACTCAGTTCTTTAGCTCTTTCAGCTCAAATTTGAAAGCTTTTATTTACGGGATATGTATTCGCAGTTTAGTCCATTGTTGGCAGACGTCTGAGTCTAAAAGTAGCTAAAGTTATACGGATATCTAATCTTTCATATTTTCTATACATTCGGTTCAGGCAAACAGAGTACAACAACAAGTTTTCGGAGTTGATTCGAAGTGATATTTGTTTGKTCTTTTTTATCCCGCACAATAAATATTCAAGATAATAGGAAAGCTGTGCCCAGACATGACTTCGTTTCCRTTTGAATTGTTTTCTTTGAATTTTGGGCTCTGATGGATCTTTATAGCGCTAATTAGCCGCTCAAACTTCTTTACCAAGTTACGTCGTTGAGATGTGATATGTAGAAAAACTCATCACTTATTCCGATTGTACGTTCTCTGATCGAGAAAGAGCTTCTACAACACTTTTTTATGGAAGCTATGGACAGATTAGATAAGTCAGAGCTCTTARAGCTCTCATAATATTTTGTGTACCTTTTTCACAGGAAAACTAACATACTTAACGGAGTGTTATTCTCCATAGACACACTCTATCTTAGTTCCAAAAATAAAAATAAATATAAGTATCTGAGTAAAGAWAAGATACTTAATGCTACAACAAAGGTTTATTAGGGAAGTCTTGGTAACARATTACTACTCAGATCTATTGTGAAACGTTTATGTTATAATTTTGGCGTATAAATGTRTATGAGAAAATTTTAAGGAATCTTTGTGAAATATTTT